CTCAGGTAATCCCAGGCACTTCTTGAGACCATGAGATCCCTCTCCATCGTCAGTATTACTATGCTCTTCAGCAAGTACTACTGATAAAGGCTGGCGTCTCTGCATCTTATATAGTACACCTACATATACTATAATGAGACACCACCGAGTAGCCTATGGATATATTACCTGCATCCCCTCTAGTACCAACAGCAGAGGGCTTCAATACATTGCCGCTAGTAGCACTCATCAGCAAAGGTGTAATGGTAGAAAAACTGGAGGACGATAAGAGCTGTTGATTAATAACTCACACACGACAGTATATGAGAATCATGCGTACTATAATAGTAGACGCCTATACACCTGGATATAGGCCTGCCTTGACTACCCCTATAGAGTAGTTCATAAGGGATTGTAGCGGTCGAGACCAGGAGATCACAGCACTGTTACACCGGCCATGTTCACGGCGGTGTCGCATGAAATATTGAAACCTGATTGGTGAGAGGTACATCGTTTATGTGGATAGGTCGTTGGTAATTCATGCTGATAATATCCCAAAGAGTGATAGTACTCTACCTGACTAGAGCATGAACGGCACCAACCTCAATAGCTACTGATTAGATATAGTAATATAAAAAGCATACACTAAGGAAGCCAATAAGCCGGGTCCCTATATATATGTAAATATACCTACATACACCTCTGGGAATGGGGTCTGGGTAACTGCTGATAGGACCTCAGGTCAGTGGAACAGGATAATAACGAGATTAGAAAGGCCAGGAGCATTGATATGAACAATCCAGATTCACTTACATGTGACAGTGGATATGATTGTGGTATTGATTAGAGTACCCAACCGTAACTATCCCAACTACTATGACAGATGGCTGCTATATTGCGGATATTCGAAGCTATCACCTCATGGTATGGTGTAGAAATCATGTAGTAACTACCTCACTGAGACGTAGACACTTCTTGATAATGATGATGGTGTGTTGGTGAATTCTTATCATCATCAACCTACTCGTACCGCATCATCATCATCAATACTGAGTTGCCTGATAACGTCAAGTGGTAGTAGTGGTTACTGACTATCCCTGTAGATAAGGACTATATCACTATAGAGATACCATCAAGGTGATGAGCGTTGATCTACTCCTTGAACTACTAGCCATTTCTATTGTAGTCGTCCTTGGGGATCTTGCTCTTCCGGGTTCGAACCCTGGTAAGAGCATCATATCTGTAGTGACACCGGATACTAAGGTTATTACATCACCTCGGGAAGGAATGTTGATAACTGCTGCAGGTTGTTTTCTACTACTCTTACTATACACATTCAATAGTATTGAATGGAACATCATCATGCCCCTACTACTCCAGAGAGTAGCAAGAGGGCAGCAGCAGCCATCAGATATGCCCAGTGGTGGCGGCTAACACCGTCCTCCACAGGGAGTGATGATGATACTAATAGAGGTAATAACAAGGTGACATCGCCAAGTGTAATGTAGTAGTATTTCAGCAGTGCCTAGCATTAGCGGTTATCCAGGGACACTAGCTTATCGTTGCTATCGTGATGGTGGTAATGATGACACATATCGATCGTCCTCATCGACTGCCGACGATCGTTTGAGATTCTTCGCATTCTCGGCCTTGGAAGAATTGAGTGGTACTATGGGACCCAACCAAGGACCCAAGGAAGCGGCTTCACATCTGGATTACATGCTTGATGGTAATGCTGGCAAGAGGGATCAAATCATCTACTCTACATTCCTATCGAACCTCTGTTGGGGTATTGTCTGCTGTTTCATGCTCAATCCCTACTATTAGTTACGAAAGGAGATGTGCCAAGCAGCCCTGACGATGAGCTGCCTAATGATGATGATAAGACAACACCGTCATCATCATCATCATCGACCTCCCCATCCCCCATTGCATCTAGCCATGATGACCACCATGATGCAAAGGAGACTGCAGTGGAGGATACATCTACTGTATGGCAGGATAGACTATGTGCTCGATGGGATGTGGTAGTAGCAATGAGTTGGAGTATTGTACACTAGTCTATAACCAGATACGACTCATCCTGGTAGTTATGTGTCCTTTAGTGCTTATAGCTGCCATTGTGTGGCTGGTATATGATGCATAGATGGTTGGAGATGGACAGGAATAACGATAGTGAATGTAGTTAACTAGCATTGT